TGTGCATTTTTCTATGTTACAGTATTGATTCTCATCATATGTATGTATTATTACAAGTTGAAAATAATTGAAAATAATCAAAAATAATTAATAATAATATTTATTTATTTATTTATTTATTTTTTACAGTCTGTTAGACTTATATTGCAACAAAGATTTAACATTCTTATAATTAGATTTTAGATTTAAAATATAAATATTAAATATTAAATAGAAAATACAAAATGCTCTACAGAAATTTTTAAATAATATTATTTCTTTATCACTGCAATTATTTTATGTCATTATACACGCATGCAATTTCCTGGAAGTTATGTAGACGGTTGGAAAGGCCGAGTTTCCAATCCGCGCTATTCTTTTTGGGTTACTCCATTTATTGATATCTCCTGGGTGGTCAGAAAGGCCGAGTTTCCGATCCACCCAGTCGCGCTTTCGTGACGGTTAACGGTTGGAAAGGCCTAGTTTCTCGAAAACCGGGTTTTGAAAGACGGCGAATAATCGGACACCCTAGTAACTATAGTGTACTCATATTAAATGAAGAGAACTGAATATATTCAACTATATTTTTTTAACTATTCTCTATTTAATTTGAACATATTTTATAGTGCAAAAGTACTCTAATGTAGATAATTATTTTGGTGACGACCGGTCTACGCGATGACTGTGGTTGTGGCCAGATTCAGAACTTCAAGTGAACACTAATCAAAAAGACAAAGTAGACACATATTAGACGCAGCTATTGCACTGTCTACTTTGTCTTTTGTGAGTAGTGTTCACTTGACGCTGGCTGATGATGGTGGCTCAGCTGCCAACCGAAATGCATCGGAAAAAAATAAACAAAAAATTTAATTTTTACAAAATAAATTCGAGTTGTTATTTATGATATTTGCGATCAAAAGGTTAAAACATAAAATTAAAAAATTTTAATAATTTGACCACAAGCAGACTCTAAATTTAGTGATTAAATTACTAAAACGGTTTCAAACAATGTTTGTGCAAAGTTTGAGACCGAGCATTGTAATTTGACCGCAACTTGAAACTTGCATTTTATTATACTAGAACTAAATGGGCTACAAAAATGCATACCAAAATTTTTTCTAAAGCTTCTAATCAAAAATTTGGAAATTTGGGTGAAAATTTGCAAAATTTTTAAAATTTTTGTACAATGTTTGAAAACTGAATTTATATAGGGCTTGTTGTATAGCCAACTAGACTTTCAAAAGACAAATAGCCAAAACTTAATTTGTGGACAACTGTATGTAACTTGGCTCTTTACGATTAGTAGATCGCTGGGAATAAGCGCCTTGCCATAGAATAATATAAAGAAGATAGTAAGATGTAATATACATATTTACATAGTATGTTTTTTTTAAATGAAGTTGGTGTACTATTAAAAGGTTCATATCTGACACGTCCAACAATTTCCTTCCCTAAATAAATAAAATAAAATAAATAAATATACGATTGTAAAGGTATTAACCCTTCGGAGGGCGCGCCGCTGCAAATTAGCCGCGAAAATTTTAATTTGTGGTTTTCAAATACTAATTGTAGTAGCCAGCATCTGCCACTTAGTGACTTTGTAAGTTTTGAGATGCAGCATGGTTCACTGTTAGCTGTTACTTGCTGCGTTATATCGTTCAGTTGACATTTGTATTTGAAAGTTGGTGTCTTATACATATATGCGGCTGAATTGTCGCGTCGCCCCTTTCCGTGTACAAAAAAAATTTAATGTAACTCGCAAAATTTATTTTAAGAAAGTTGGAAAAGTGAGTTGGTGATAAGGGTCTAAATCGAAATTCTTATTTTGTAAGTTATACTTTGCGTACACATTATTGTAACTATTATGATATTCATATTCTTAGGTTTTAGAGAAAAAAGGATGTTTGGAAACTTATATAGAAGCGAACCAGCTACGCAACAGAAATTTAAACCAAGAGTATGTGCCAAAAATTTGTTGTATTAATTGTAACAAAAATGTTTGCAGAAAACAAGCATATTTCACAATGTGTAGAATGTATCAACACCACTCTTGATGATGAAGGATAAATATTTAAAAAATAAATGCTTATATGTTGCAGTATAAACACAAATTATTCAAATGTTATATTTGAATAATTTTTCGACATAAATAAAGGGTTAAGAAGGGTTAAGAAAACTTACATACGGCATAATTTTTCACACACACATCGTGATACGGTCTACTGCACATACTACAATATTATGTACAGACTTTATATTTCACTTTTAGAGCCAACATTTGTTTACTACAGTTTGAGAAGCACTACACTATCAGCAGCAGGAGAAGCTGCAAAGTAAACAGAGCGGCAGAGTGCAATCATTGCAATTGCATCTCACATTCACATTCACACGCACAAATTGACTTTCATCAATGCGCTCTCGCACACCAGCTAGCCACTCTCAATTAGAACCAAAACAAAAAACAGCTGATGATAAGTTAAAGGTAAAAGCAAACGAAAGTTGCATTTGAAGTTATATTCACGATAAGCTCCGGTGCTGAGGGAATGGAGAAGAATGGAAGGAAAGTCTAAATTTCCGAACATAAATATATATGTACATATGTATGTGCATACGGTTGACTTCAAATGCAAGGCGAAGANCATTCATAGATAAACTGCGTTGCTGAGGGAATGGAGAAGAATGGAAGGAAAGTCTAAATTTCCGGACATAAATATGTACATATGTATGTGCATACGGTTGACTTCAAATGCAAGGCGAAGATTGTGCCTATATACAAATAAATGATAAATAAAACAAATTTAATGCATTTAGACAAAAAAGTAAGAAACTTCATAAGTTTTATCATTGTGAGTTGTGAAGCGAGTTGCATAATGAAGCAAAGGCAAACCAGATGAATTAGATGCAAAAATAAATTCGTAAAAATAGGACGGCGATGATCAACTAAAAACTTGTAATTGCATAGACACTTTTTTAAAGTGTAACTGCCCAAAAAAGCGTCGGAACAGGAGAGCAACTGGTATTATGAAAATGTGGTAAAAAACATACAAAAATCTATAGCTGTGGGGAAGTGAGCATATGACTTAACGGAGGCTATGAGCAAATATCTAAAGTCCCAAATATGTGTGAAGAAAAAGAGAGCGATGGAACTTGAAATTGCACCTGTCTTACTTTTGGCCATCGACTTTTCTTACATCATTATCTCCATTATCATCATCATGATTATTTGCGGCATGCCATTTCTTTCCGCCGCTCCAATCAAACATGCATACATACATTTACTATACATATGCATGTACATTCATAAATACCTATACTTTTTCCTACCAGCAGCGCCAGTTCATGTCCACACTTTTACGCTTAACGCACAAACAAACCAGAAAACAACAGCCAGACGCATGAATTAACAGCCAACCGTACATGCATATCCAACGAAAGCGAAACGAACGAAGAAAGAAGCCAAAGCAACAGTGGTAACTGCCAGCAGCAATAAATGAAGTAAAAAAAATAAACCAAAGCCACTCGCTGGTTAGTCGGCCAGCAACAGGCGACTGCATTAATTTCACTTTCGTTTGCAGCGCAACGATCGTGGTAACTGCAGTGTACAACAAAAACGGAAAACACAGCAACAGTGTGACTATCGTTTTTGTTGTACCAACAAGGCAACTTTTTTAAGTGCTGCTACTACTGGCTGCCCCACAAGCGAAGCAACTACAGCATGCCGCACAGAAAGACAACTTCCCAAGCGCAGCCAATGCACCTTGCCTATGAGGAAGCAACGCAAAGCGACGTCATCGCATACAACATTAAGGATGATAATGTTGTTGATGAACACGATCCGTTGGTAATGATGACAAATGTAACAACACCACCACAGACTAAAGTATGTGGAATCAATTGAGCGCGGCAAAGAAATACCAGCGTTTCCATTTGGGAGTGCACGGTATTTACTTTATGTAAATATTTGTGCAGCTTAAACTTCAAACGACAAACAAAAATCTGCATCAACTTAGAGTAGTAAGCGCCACTAGCCACTTTGTGGGCATGCTCCAAAGAGTAAAGGGGTGAAAGTCCAAGTTGGTCAGTGGCAGAGCGCATGGGGTCTTGTAAATATGCAACTCCTACATTTTGGCAAATTACTAGCGTAATAGAAAAGAGTTTTAAATCCTGAACTTTGGATTCCGCAATGCCATGGTTGCTGGATTCACTGACAAATGCCAAGTAACAGTGACAATGAACGATTGAGGGGAGCTTGGCAAAATGACAAAAACGACAGTCGGGTGTACGTAACCAGAATTACCCAGATTTACATCTGACCAGGGACTGCAACATCACATCCCAAAAGCTCCTAGCAACAAAATGAAATAAAATTGCGCTCGAAAAACAAACGAATAGAAATTTAACGCTTTTTTAAGGGTAAATAATTTTAGCAGTGAATATTTTACATTCATCTAAGAGAGGTTTGTATTTATCCAGTTATATATGTACTTAATTATAATGTATAGGTAAACTTTAAAAGTAAGTCTTTTTAGAAAACCAAAAATTATGCTCAATGATGTCACGAATAATAAAAATCATCTTTTTTATATTTGAAACGCCTTGTTGCGCTCCATGCACCTTATTGTTTTTGGTCGAAATTGCAACATACGAAGTCACAAAATATCGTGTTATTATTGGATAAGAAACATACTCTTCAGTTCTATTTTAATTCTTCATAATTATAATCATAAATATTTTATATTTTAAATTTCAGTTCAACTCATAATTAACTAAGAGCTCCGTTTTAGATATAATATTATATCGCAAGCTGATTGTTATAAAGTTTAAATAAATAGGTGTTTTTTTTTATTAAAATACAGTTGTGTATGTTAAAACTTAGTGCTATTTTCTTTATCAATAGAAATTTATTTACATTAAAATAATTTTTCATCAAAGAAAAGACTTTCTTCTGTAAAAATAGTTATGTTATTGTTTGTGACAGGTAGTTGAGTTGCCTCAAAGAAATAGTTTGTTTTGCCACTTACCAAATACGTAAAATAATCCTGTCCTGCTGTTATGGCATTGTGACGTTGCATTACCACCCCTGCTCCNCTTTATCAATAGAAATTTATTTACATTAAAATAATTTTTCATCAAAGAAAAGACTTTCTTCTGTAAAAATAGTTATGTTATTGTTTGTGACAGGTAGTTGAGTTGCCTCAAAGAAATAGTTTGTTTTGCCACTTACCAAATACGTAAAATTTTCCTGTCCTGCTGTTATGGCATTGTGACGTTGCATTACCACCCCTGCTCCATGAAAGCTGCGTTGTGGCAACAACGAGGACATGTTGCCTACACTGCTTTTTCCAAGTAGAGCAGCAGCAGTGACCGCGCTTGAACAAAACGATCTGTTGATTTTTTGTTGTAAAAATAATTGACAAAGATATTTTTGAGTTTGGTGGCTTCGCGAACCGACAACACTGTAAAGTCCTCGACGACCGGAAGTGCTTAAACATGCCATTTTTACAAATTAGTATTTTAATGTTGTAAAAATATTCGAAATTCTTTTCTAAAACACCTCCCTTGGCGTTTTATTTTTTGTTATTTTACCTTTATTCTCGTAGGATATGTTCTAAGGGTTTAACAAATAGTATTTTGACCCTTCATTGATGTGCACTTTTTGTGTTTTCGTTTTTTTTTTATTGTTTCCGTCTTTTAACCGTATTTTATAATTTTTTATTTATTCATAACAGGACACATGCCACTTTATATATTTTCGTATTTTGTTTTTATTTTTAATTACTATTTTAGAAAAGAATCTTAGTATGTTTTATTTAAAACTTGCCTTTCTTTTTAACATCGATGAGCACTTCCAAACTATTTTGAATAGGTTTTGAAATTTGCTGTACACGAGGTGTTTGTAAAATTAAATGCAAACGGCGATCAAAGACTGACTTAGTAACTGAAGTACGCCAAAGACGACCACGAAACAACGATTGCTTGCGTCTGAACCCAGCAACTCCAACAAAGTGTCTGTTGTAGCTGACAACGTTTGTGGCTCACGCAGGTTATTACATTGCGGTAGCAGCCAAGAAGTTAGGTAGCTCAAAAGAGAGCTTAAGGAACGGCTGCGTAGACAATGGAAACTCGTTCACTTGCCTCGCTAAGCTAAGCTGCGCTAGTTTGCGGCCGCGCTGTGGTGAAATTTTATGAGCCATATCACTTCGGAATTAAAGCTGCATCGGTAGTGGTGCGGTTGAAGCAGCTTACAGCGAGGTGGATTTGGGGTGCATAGGTTGACCAAAAGTGTTTGAAGTTGGCTCTAATTTGAGCGAAGCTAGTGGCACATGCAAAAGGTACGAAAGCTTATTCTCCAGGAGCCGGTGAAGCACTCAGCGCTATATACTATAAATATTGCAGGAACTACTAGCTTCAATGTGGCTTATAAAGCTTGTAATCCATGAAATCCACAATGTAGCACATTTACATAAGTTGAACCATTTATTTAAGCTTCAGAAATGTAGATAGTTTTTCGCACTCATTTGCTTTTTTTGATTATTTAACTGGCTAAAAAGTCAAATTGGAATTGGTCTTGACGTAACTTGTATTTTTTTGTATTTTTTCTTTGATTTTACTCTTGTCAATCTATTAACCATATGTAAAAACAGCTGATCGCGTTGATTGTTAGCGGGCGACATCTACGGGTCGACCTTTATGCGGGCTAACCGATTCGGCCTTGCTAATTTTGTCCCTAACCCGACGTTTACGTGTGACTTTTGGTAAGACATTTAAGGTCGATGTTATGCAGACAAACTTTTGTTTGCTAATTAAATGGCGGCTGCATAGTTTGCTCGGGGGTGGCTATATCGAGTTTCGCCCTAATCTTTGAAGCTCCTACCGCATAGATTCGGTTCTCCGGCTTTCGGTATCACAGCAATTTTTGTGTATAGCAACAATTATCTAAAACTTTTATATATGACAATACCAAATTTGCTTCAGTTTGACCAAAGAACGTAAATCTAAAGAACTTAAACGAGCTATCGCAAACCGGTTAGGGACCAAATAGCGAAGGTACAAAATGTAGGACTGGCAAAGAACGTAATTCTATAACTTTGTCTTCTTTGGTTTGACCAAACAAAATTAGTTTGCTGTGAGAGTCGCCAAACCAAAGAAGGTAAATTTATAGAATTACGTTCTTTGCCAGAACGCACGTTTTGTACCTTCGCTATTTGGCCCCAAACCGGTTCGCGATAGCTCGTTTTGGTCCCAAACCGTTTCTGTTGTATTTCTCCTTGATCTAGGAAACAGCTGATTTTGCTGTCACTTTGTTTTGCTTTTGCTGCTGGGGTTTTATAAAAAATTTGGTTTATTTTTTATATAAAAAATTGTTCTTAAAAATGTCGCGAACTTTTTACTTAGGGCTCCGAAACTTTCTTTATCGCCTCGAGAATTTGCTGCAGATNCTTATATAAAAAATTGTTCTAAAAAATGTCGCGAACTTTCTACTTAGGGCTCCGAAACTTTCTTTATCGCCTCGAGAATTTGCTGCAGATCGGCTACAAAGGCCAACCGCCAAGTGAGTTTACCAAGCGATTCCCCGAAGAAGGAGGTTATTTAATCAATTTTATTTTTGCAGCGCAATTTGCATTGGCCGGTATGCCTAGTATTAACGTGAACGCCAGACGAATTGTTGCAGAGTCTGACAAGCCCGATAGATTTAGCCTTAAAGAACTCTTAGGTGATGGCATCTTCTGGGCCGTGCCGAAACATCGACGCACGATTGAGAAAAGACTTAAGCGGAAATTTGGCTTGCCTGGATATAATTGGAAACCATTGATCACTAAAACAAATCTACGCACGTGCAACCAATGTGGCCATGACCACGAATTGGGAATTCTTTGCCGTAAGTTGCGTTATATGCCCTTAATGAAATACTGGACTTGAAACGCTTTAATTGCAGCTCACTGCTACAAAAAGGTAGAGCTGGAAACTCGTTTGATGCAAGAAAAAATTCAGGAAAAGTTAGGTCTAGAACCTGTAGAACACGAAGTCGTCGTACTCTACGAGGGTGAGCAGCTAGAAGGATCTGTTGATGCTGCTAACAAAAAGAACGTGCGTGTTGTAGAAATGGAAAAGGCACGTCCCGTTTGGTTTAGCAAAAACCTCATGCAGAAGACCACTGTGCAACCAGAAAATACAAAAGAAGTAAAGCCCTCTAATTTGGGTTAGGCAAGAACATGTGTCTAAAATTATTAAAAAATAGTTAACAAATTTCGTAAATTTAACTATTTTATTTCGTTGTAAAGTAATGTTGAGTAGTATTTATTTGTTTAAGGAATCCATTATTGAAATCCTGTGCGGTCATTACTTTCTTCCCTTCGATACGTAGCTGATGTATCTCTACATAAGAGTCGGCAGCACAACGTACTAAAAGACAGCGTTTTTTGCGGTCGTAGTAAAAACCGCCGCACTCTACATTCCTTAGAGCGTCAGGTAACTTCTGTGGGAGTGGTAATTGGACATCAATCAGTTGCACGATTTTATTTTGAAATATCGTGTTCAAGTTTTTGTAACCAAAAAGTGCACGAAATCTTCTATGCAGTTGTTCAGCACTAATCTGAGTCCAATTCACTTCCGTAATAGTAGTCGTTATTTTGGGTGCTTTGAAAAGAAAATGCAGATTTAAGTATAAAATCGAATGGTGCCTCTTTCAATATTATGATTACCAAATGTAGCGAAGTCATTATTTTGTCTAGTTGTATTTTCTAGATAGCGAGGAAATTCTTGTATAGTAGTGACGAGCAAATTAGCGCCCTCTATGGCCAATTGGTTATGTAATTCTGGCATGAGAATACCATCTTGTATGACCACTTCTTGCTGGGCTAGAATCTAAAACAAAAAAACAAGTAATTTGGTATGGGAACTTACGACTACGAAAGAATTTTACACACTTACGTCTCCCACATCAAAGTGTTTGGGCTCTATTTTCATTATGGATACTCCCGTTTTCGCATCTCCATTCATTATGGCATATATAATAGGCGCAGCACCACGCCATCGCGGCAATAGACTAGCATGTACGTTAATCATGCCACTGTAAGTTGAAAGCAAACTTCTTATTAAAATGTTTGGTATAGTTTGTTAGATCTGCTTGCATTTCTGATTTTAATAACTTTTTTATCCAACTTTGGGGGAAAACCATGCACAACTACCAATAATTTTAACTCACTTTGGAAATGCTCTAATTATTTTCTCTGGTATTAAATGACCAAAGGAGACCACAACACCTAAATCATATCCTCCACAGATATCTGGCACGATAGGCCAGCGATAAAGCGGAAGGCGGTGATGTTCGGCGTACGTACGTACACAATTAGCAGGATTTTTAAAAGATGTTACTATGCCTAATGATCTGCTGTCGAAACTGCAATAACGGTGAACGCGTAACGATATAAACAAATTCAATTTTAAATTGGATATATTCTCAAGTACATACCAGCTTTTGTGAAGCGCTTGTAGGCTGGGCAGAGAAAATGCATCCGTCCCGAAAAACAGCACTTTTAACTTCCCGTTTGTCAAAACAGAAGGAACTGCTTGTTTACATTTCCAACGTTGGTGCTTCCGAAGTGCACTGACACTTTCATTTATTTTTCTGCGATATTTGAATAAATTTAAATAAAATTTTGGGCTACAAATCATAGTTATACAAATTAGAATGCAACAGCCATGACAACAGCTGACCTGCTCGAAGTTGACATGAGCTTGAAATGCATTCCACCTTAATTAACGCAGGGACGTTCAGTAAAAAAGAAAACAGTAACTAACTAAAAATTTCAAAACAATAAAATGTGCATTTCATACTCTTTGATCGATTTAAAAACGTGTGTATTTATTAATATCGGCATTGGAAATTTAAATAACAACAGCACATCAATATACATAACTTTATCTAAAAATTCCTATTCGTCAGGGTTTCAATAAAAAAAAAAAATCGGAATCGAGTTCAATGAACCACCTTAATGATTATTTTATTAAGAATTAAGGTTTGAAGCAGGTAGGGGAAATGTCAAGTTGTTATGCATTTTGCTTCACATTCAACTTCTCGTCATCAGTCAGATTTTCACTTTGTTTTATCTTTGTTTTATTGAATTATTTTGTTATATATCAAAGATCATCGAAATCATCGAAATTCGCTTTGAATAAAACCCAGAGCAAACACAATGGAGTCGGAACCAAGCTCCTGCAATACGCTGGCTTCCGAATATGCATTGCGTGTGGCGTTGCAAACTATGAAGGAACGTTGCCTAGTGCTCCAGAGACGGCTGACTGTGTTGGAAGAAGATAACCAAGAGCTGCGAGAACGTGTTGAGCAAGGAAAACCGGCATCCCTTTCTCAAAACAACAATGGCGCCATGGGCGGCGAAGCTGCCGAACTGATGCAGTTGCGTCTTCACGTTGCCGAATTAAATCGTCAAAAGCAACAACTGAGTGAGCACATAAATATGGTTTCAAACGAAAACCGAAAGCTTTGGTCCCGCCTTTCCCAAATAGCCAAAGATAAAAGCGGGCGCACTGGTGTCACAAACGAACAAGATATTTTAGGTAACGTGGGAGACCAAGATGACTTGCAAGCAAGCCCCCAAAATGGCAATGGTGCAAGTCAAAACCTTATACGTTCTAAAACATTTACACAACATTCACCGAACCCTAATCTACGCCACAAGCTAATTCCAAATGGCTCCGAACTAAGCATGGAAGAAGTTGCGCTTGATGGCTGTGATAAAAACGGTGAAGTAGTCGAGGAAAATAATGATTACGTGACAAGCGCAGATGGAGAGTTAGGCTTCGCTTACCTAAACGTTGATGACGGTGCTAGCGAAGCTAGCAGTAATGAAGATGCAGATTTTACTTCTGTAGCTAAGAAATGCATTGACGGCTTACAGGAAATGCGTCGGGAAGCGATTAAGCAACAACAGGAACTGAATTCAGCACTTGCTGTGCTCGAAAGCAAAATTGGTAAGTTTACTATGCTTTACATATTACTTTTAAGAAATGCTTAAAACACCGTTTCAATGCATCCATCTTTGCAGCTCTGCAACCATGCACAGATTGTGTAAAAAACAAAAAGAAACCAGAAACAGCTGACAAAAGCCTTGAAACAGATGAGAGCCTCAGCGAAGGGCTGAATGCTAGTAAGCAACCTGAGTTTAACGGTGTGAAGGCGTGCCATCGCCACGACGAATCTGAAGAAGTATATTCATGTTCCAACGAACCGGAGGACGAAACGTTTCTAGGTGTCGATGCCTATTACGATAAAGTACAAGACGTATTTAATATCGAGCCAAGTGATCGCTTGTGTCCATTATGTGGAAAGAAATTTGATAACACTGTGCCGTGGGAGACGTTCCAGCTGCATGTTGAGTCACATTTCATTGATAGAGATGTAGATTTCTGACAAAACCCAAAAATTTACTTTTCCTCAGAGCTATAAGAGGAATAATGATTAAAATGAGAATATACTATTGCGTGCTTGTTGTTAAAATGGACTGATTTTGTTGAAGAAAATTTTTGTTTCGCAATTATGATTGTGCGTACAATAATTAAAAGGTTTTAAGAATTTTATGTATGTATGTTTTTGTTTGCGTTGTGCAAATTGAATACTTAAAACTCTTTAAATTTTATACACATACGGGCAGGTTCTGCAATTCACTTCCGAGTGAATTTCAACCCCTGCCAATTTGAATTCAAAGCGAGTTTGATTGAAATTCACTGGAAAGTGAATTGCAGAACCTGCCTGATAACATTATAATTTCCAAGGACTTCGTATAAAAAAAAAGTATTTAAATATATTTTTAATTAAATTATTTAAATATATATATTTAAAAATATGGTATTTCAATTGAATACAAAGCAAATGCAAAGGTTTAAGAAGATGTATCACTGTCAAAACTAGTAGTTGCACGAGTACAGACATACACATATTTAATTCCATAGTAGCTTTAAGTTAACTTAGTACCTAAAGTTATGAGAAAGTGAAAAATGAAAAATAAAGGTTTGATATATCTCAGATGCACCACAATATCCTATACTTTTCTTAACCCGACCGAAAAAATTTTCTATGTCCTCTTTAATGTGTGGTCATTATAATTCCCCTACTATCAGTTCTTTGTGCCGGATTGAGTGGGACTTACCCGATCAGAGGCAGTTGTTTTGGCGATATAACACGGCCAAACTCATTGCAGCATGGTTTCTCCGCATACTTTTGCTTCGGGCTTGCATTGAGTTCAACTGCGGCCCAGAAACTAATTTCTGCTCATATCTCAAAGAATACTACACCCATTTCGGTTAAATAAAAGACTTGCAACGGATGGAGTCATCTAAGACCCTTTTCTTCCTTTAACACACACACACAGTACAATTTGGTAAAAGGGACAAAATCAGGTATCTTGAAAACGAGAAAAGATAGCGAAACAAATGTAATGGTAATTTAAAGATTTTGAGATGCAGAGTTCCGGAAAAATCATCTAGTTTGGTAAAATATGTATCGTGACCTTTAAACAGACCTTCAAGTGGGTTTTAAATTTTTTCCTTTTGTGACCTGAAGGCAGTATGCAGTGACCCTTTTTAAAAAACCGGAATAAATAAAAAAAAAAAACATCACATTATAGGGTCGATTTCGAGATACATTACATTCTTATTTAGATAACATGATTACAATATACTAAAATTGAATGGGCGGAATCAGAGTAAAAGGTTTAAAACTTTTAGGAAAGTTCGTTAAATTTTCCTTCATTTTGTATACAGTTTGAAGCTTTGATTTATATCGTTTTATAACATGAACCCTATTAAAGAAAAAATAAATAACAAAAAAATTATAGCTTGCAAATCAATGTGAATATTAAAAACAAAGGTGTACGCAGATATATACATTATATTGCATCACCAAAAAAGGTGCTATATTTTATTATATTTTAAGACGTTCACCAAAATATTTCGGAAAAATGTTAAGATTTAAGCGAGCTGGACCGATTTGAAAATACCTCCAAAAATGGAGTTTTTTATGAATAAAAAGAGTTTCTTAAAGAGCAGAAAGAAATAAAGAAGTCCCCACAGATGACAAAACAGATTCAGCTTAAAAAATCTGCATACAAATATTTAAAAATCTTTTCAACGGAATCGTAAAAATGAGATTTTTCCCCACTATTTTTTACTTATCTGCAAAAAAAGTCATTCGTGTCCCTTTTTTTTCAAATACCAACGCATCTTAATTCAACTAAAATGATGTTCGTTCATCCTACCTTTCTCTTTTAACCTTTGAATGAGCTTTTTAGCAAAAAAGGGCGAGAAAATACCTTTCCAATGATACCTCACAAGTCTAAATCGGAAGAGAGAACTGAACCTATTCAAGTTTTTCTTGTACCAATCTTTGAAAAAAGTTAAAAAAAAACAGCATCAAAAATCCCATTATTACGATTCCGTTAAATTTTTTTGTATGTTTTTAAAATATTTTTATGTAAACTTTTTAAGCTTTTTAAGCGTTTTGTCATTTAAGGGGATTTTTTCAAAAACATTTTTACGAAGCTATTTTTATTCAAAAAAAACTCCATTTTTGGAGGTATTCTCAAATCGGTCCAGCTCGCTTAAGTTTTAATATTTTCCCGAAATATTTTGGTGGACATCTTAAAATATAATAGATTTTATAATTCCAATGGAAAAACAGTACCGAATTTTTTATTTTTTTTTGTATGGGGAGTGATGCAGTCTAATGTACATATATGTATGTATGTATGTAAGTGAGTGAGTTTATGTACCCAGTGGTAAAATGTAATGTATAGTAATCGAAAAAATAATCAGTAAAACAACCCTTAGCACAATCGAAAATGTATTTTTTTCCCCAGGACGATGTCCTAAGAAAAGTGCGGCATTCAATTTTGCATTACCTAGTATCGAGAAATGATTGTGATTTAATATGAATTTTTTGCGACTTTTTGGATACATTAGAATGCTGATTACGTAGTTAGCAGTAATATTATCGAGAACGCATAAGAAATAGATTATAATATTTATCCTGAATGTAATGCATTACTACTTTTTCGACTGGGTAGATACATATCGTTACCTTAATTCACAAAGGCGACAGATAATACTTTTTCATGGTTCACAAAAAAAAATCTATATACATATATATATGTATATATAAATAAGGATACGAAAAACCTCCGTTTTTTTGTGGATGTTCTTGGATACGTAAATAAACGAAAATTGTAGTCGTTTTCTATTCGTTAAAGCATACGGAAAATTGTACTAGACCGCAATGCCGCCAAAATTTACGTTTCCTGCTGGCTGGGTAGATACATGCCGAAGGGTTCGCTGCATAAGCTCACATAGCTTTTGCGGAAACTTTCCCTTAAAGGCGTATGCAATTTTATCGGCGTACGCAACGACTTTTCCATCTCCAAATCCGTCCCACACAAAGCCTTTTATAAGTGTTGAGAGCAAGGCGAATATTTATAAATCACTTAATCGTTACTTTCTTTTTAAACTTTAATATAACTTAGATATATTAATTATAATAAAACTACAGGATCATATTATTGTTGTAATTCTAAACCCAAATATGCCATAAAATTAATGTTTTGTTTACAGCAGTCAAATCAACTGCCAATTTCTCCAAAAATACGAAAATCATTAAAAAAAACAGACTATGAATTTAAGTAACAGAAAATACTTTAGAACGCCAGAGTACTTGTTTTTAACAATATTTGGGCACAAAAATAAAATGTAGTTCACCAAAAATAAAAATATATTCGTTTTAACATGAGTGTACACACGTTGACGGAGGTGGAGACTTACTCCGAGAATTCGATCATGTTCTCAACACATGTAGTATAAAATACCCTTATAATATCATTGTACACAGGAACCAATAAACGATTTAATGTCGAAGAATTCTTTACATTTCAGTTTAAAATTACTATTAATATCGTTTGACTTTACCAAATTTTGTGTAAGTAGTTGTCATTTTTCATGAGCTTTCAAGCGTACATACATATGTATGTATGTGCATACATGCTTGCATAGCTACAAACCCTTATCTTGTAAACTGTTTGAGCCTTTAATTGCTTTGGGTGCGTATTTTTCTGAAACCGGAACCACTTTACTGTGGCGCTGACACGTTCCTACGCACAAGCATATAAATACATATGTAAGTATGTACGCATATGTACACGCACAACAGAACATTCATTCTTTCACTAGCGCCGCTTCGATTTCATAGTCAGCATTCGTATGCTGGAGCAAACCGCACACAAAAACAGTTTTGGAGCTTACGGCCGATTGTGAATTCGATCTCTCAAGCTTTGCTCTTTTGAACCGCCTCCAATACGGTACTCTAATTTGTGGTATTTCGGATATAAATTGAATGCAGACTCCGCAAACGCTTAAGTTAACCGTACCAATAAACGCGTTGCAACGCTGGCGTGTGGCTATTTTTTTAATGCCTGCAGATTTTTTACTTTCGATTTTAACGAAAATATTTGTGCTGTCTTTTGTGACGACCAATTTTACTGTGTTTTAAAATGGTTGTTAAAAGGCCGTTGTTACTATGGCTACAGTTGTTGGCTGGTAATGATTTGCTTGAATTCTTACATTAATATAAACGCAAAAGGGCAGTGAAAAGAATATTTTGGATGTTGAAAAATAAGAGAAAATTAAATTTTATTAACTGAAAAAATAAAATAAAACTTAAAGTGAACTAATACATATAAACAATAATAAAAAATATAAACAACAATATAAAACAGAGTACATATGTCCATTTACATGCATACCTCATAATTAATTAAAAATTTTTTAAGTAACTCCTGCAGAAGAGATTATCAGCTCTTCTTCTATAAAAACAATTACTAGAAAACAATCGGTATTTGACCTACATAAGGCAGAATTTTTTTTTTGTATTTAAAGCTTATCGTTGCTTGACGCCCAATATACTTCATAACTATCCGCCAAATTCACTGCCAAGTACGATGTGACAGAGAAATAAATTTAAATTTCGTTACCGCGTCTCAATGGTTGCCTATTCCACAAATTTAATGGTAAATAATTATAGTAGAATAGAAGAAATTTTTTTTTTTAAGAGATTGAGTCATAATTAAAATAGTAATTTCTCCGTTTATCGAAGTTAGCCTCAAAAATCGAGCTATGGTCCTTCGAAGTTCGAAATTGGACCTTTGGTAAAAAATTATTTTTAATTACTGTATGTAAACTCCTAAAAAAAGAAGTAAAAACATAGTCGTGGTACACCTTTTGCTCTTATTTAAACGGTATATAACTTTTTTTATATATGTACTTATATTACAGGTAGCAAAAAATTTGCTAAAAGGTAAATAACAGCTCTCTGTACATTTAATCTCAAAAATGCCAAATTTTGAGTTGTGACTCTTTTGAAGACGGTGTGCGATATGTACATATATATGTACAAGTGTATTGCTATAATTTGTTTATTTCACGCTTTATTAACATCTAGAGATAAAAAAAAATGTTTGCACATTTTACTACTTTTGATTTATTTTTAGTCACGTTTATTTTTCTTGGATTATCTCATTCCAAACGGGTTATTGATTTATTTTTTATGTTTCCGTTTACAAATACTAGCACGTCAATTTACGAATCAGCCTGCTCCTCCTGAATGGGATTACCGGGATACAAATAGCTGGGTTGCAGATTATCCGCAATGTGGAGGAACACGACAATCACCGATAAATTTGGACAATCGCGGTGTAAGTGTGGAGGGCATTGCATTAGTGTTATTGTTTTTGGGATGCGCATTACATATATATGTACACAAGGGTGGCCCAAAAATGCACAGAAAAATCAATTACTTGGTAATTTCTTTCTGCCACCAACCAGTAGCTCGTTTCTGTAACTATTCTCTACCGATTACTTCTCTACTGGTAGAGAATATACGTCATTCTCTACTACTCATATCTACTACATATCTACATATAGCTACTACTAGCAGTAGATAACATGGCGGCCAATTCATTTATGATAGAGCCTTCCAAAACGTTACTCAGAATATAGGAAATTTGAATAACGTCTTTTATAAATTAACCCGTTTTTCCCCTAATTTTCAGATTATTGAGTCAAATATTCCCCCATTGCAATTCCAAAACTACGCAAAGTCTTTTTCTCGTGGACTAACATTGGTAAATAACGGACTTAGAGGTAATCAATGCCAATAACTAATGCCCATTGGAAATTTAACCATTTATTACATTTCCCCTTATCAATAGCGGACATCGCAATACCCGAAACTGTTCGTGGCACACGACCAACCATTAGCGGTGGCCTGCTGAATGATGTCTACGAAGCACAATCGGTGCATTTCCATTGGGGCTCGCCAGGTGGTGTTAAGGGCTCTGAACATACTGTAAACGGCAACCATTATGATGCCGAAATTCATATTGTGCATAAAAATATGAAGTACGGCAATGAAGAAGAGGCTATGCGATTTCCAGACGGTCTGGCTGTGCTAGGCATTATGATTAAGATTGCGGATGTAAGTTTGCGGACATTTATAAAAAAATTGTAAAATGAAGATCTCCACTTACTTAATATCACAGAACCCTAACAGGTACTATCCGGGTCTGAATAAGGTTTTAAACAAATTACCGATAATTGCAGTGGCTGGAACTAATACAACTATGAATCACAAATTAGCTCTCAACCACTTCCTAGGGGATGTAGATACGACTAATTTTTTCGCCTACAGAGGTGTGCAGCAATAGAAGACCTTTTTTCTCGAGCTTATTAAAAATCAATCGAATTTTCCAGGCTCACTTACCACACCACCCTGCTCGGAGGGAGTTGCATGGCATGTCTTTCCGAAACCACTTTTAGTATCACGCGAAATGGTAAATAAATGTACAAATCAATAGTAATTGAAGTCTAAATACATTTTTAAATTATGTATTTTAAAATTTCTTCAAACAGATTCAAAAGTTATTCCTACTAAGACAGAAAAGTGGCGCACCGCTATTCAATAACTTCCGGCCTCTGCAAGCGCTGAACGGACGTGCAGTATATAGAGGCAAAGGACAGATATAACTTGTACCAACCACAATGAGGCTCCTACGACAGTTGGGCGTATTTTGTCGGAGCGATCCTAACAGACGATCCAGCTGTAACATAACAATGGGAACAATGGCATCCATTGAACAAAATTTCCACCGGCTATATTTTAATTTACTTATTAGTGTAATTTTTTAATGATAAAAATATATTTTTATAATCATAAAATATGTACATGCATCTAGTAGGATGATATCTTTATAGGTTGATCCATCTAGGGCTTTTTTTAAAACACTTAAATAAATTCTGAATGTCGGAATCTTTATTATTAACCGATAGAACATTCTCTAACATTTACTTCTTAAAAATAATTTCATCCAAATGTTGTTCGCGATTACGCTGTAGGTTGTCCATTCGGAAAGTCCAATTTTAAATTACTCTCTCCAGCATTACGGGCTTCCAAGTTTTAAATCATAGCTGGCTTATCGACGAAGACTTTTGACTTCACATAACCAAATGTTTTTTCATTGACGGTTATATTCTGTCTGCGGCCTACATTTGATGGAAATCATTTTTAAAGAGTAAATGTCAGAGAACATTATTTCGGGTAATAACAAATATTCCAACATCCAGTTCTATTTTAAGGGTTTTCTTTAAAATTAAAAAAAGGTCTAGATGAATCACCTGATATACGGCCATGAAGTTCCATATATTCAAATGTACATAAACTGCATTTTCAGTTTTGTTCAATCACGTAATTATTTCGAAATATTGGCCTACTAAGTTTCGTCGTAAAACACGTCTTTTTTAATTTTTGGTACGTCTGAAATATTACGATAAATAATTTTATCAAACCCCTTAAGCCAAAAAAGTTTATAACTATTTACAAGTAATGCAAGTACTTTCCAGGAGCAAAATATTCAACAAAAATGTCTCCAATAAAGTTTACTAGGGGCAGGGCCGAACGCAGGTAGGGTTTTTGGCGGTTCAACCCCGCCCCTTCTCCGAAATGCCTGCGGAAAATTTAAAAAAAGTTTTCTTTTCATTTAGTTAGTTGCCTAGTTCAATTATTTGCAAAAANTTTACAAGTAATGCAAGTACTTTCCAGGAGCAAAATATTCAACAAAAATGTCTCCAAGAAAGTTTACTAGGGGCAGGGCCGAACGCAGGTAGGGTTTTTGGGGGTTCAACCCCGCCCCTTCTCCGAAATGCCTGCGGAAAATTTAAAGAAAGTTTTCTTTTCATTTAGTTAGTTGCCTAGTTCAATTATTTGCAAAAATATGCAGATAAAGAACAAACCAAGGTTTGTGTACAACAAACACAGCATTTTGATATTCAGAACACCGCTTCGAAAAACTCAGTATGAGTTCGCCTTGGACCTAACATATCGATATACTACACGCATTTCCTTGCTTTGAATTTCGAGGTTTTCGAAGCTTTCAAAAGTGTAAAAATAAGTGAACTACAATTGCTTCTTTTAACATTTTTCATGTTCAGTATCATTTTGAGTTTTAACGTGAACGCGGCGTTACTGATCCATATTTTGAGAAAAAAATTAATTTACCTATTTGGGAGAAAAAAGTGTATTTACAATGCCCGTTTATCACCAAAACAAAAAGTGTTACGTTCCGAATGCATTCTGTAAAATTAACGAACTATTTTAAGCCGTAAAATTCCGCCCCTCCCGCTGTCGATTTGCACAAACTACAGTGACAGCCGAAAATTCACCAACCGAGTGTCAAGTAGCGAACAAATTAAGACGCTCTGACGCGGAGGACCTTAGTGCAACTGATTTCAGAGTAAGTCACTGAGTCCCGCAGTTCCCAGTATATAATGATGAGATAGAGAAAAATCCAAAAATTGTCGCCTCTCTAAGTCCATAGTTTACAAGATACCGGTAAGTTTTAAATTCACGTTCTTGAAGGTTCCGCTCAATGATGTATAAAATTTTTGTCGCGGTAAACTAAGCGATAACGAGAATTATGAACTCCTTGCAAATCCGTGGGCACCGCATGCTACTCTTAAGGTACGTTCACACAGAAAACGAAGCCGAGCCGAGCGAAGCTGTTCCGAGTTGGGTGAAGCTTTCAAATTGCTGTAGCTATATAAAATTGCTCATACAGCAAGCTTTTTCCGAAGCGTTTTGGAGCTGAAAGCCAGCACTTTTTGATTTTGAATTTTCTATTTATTTTTAAGCTTCATGACGCTGTTGCAAAAAAGATATTAAAATATTGAAATAAAAACGAATTTATCCTCTTCTTCTTTTGAATAAAATTGGGCGAATATCTTTGCCGCTTTTCACTGACGGTAAGTTTTTTGATATCTTTGCGGCCGTGTCCATGAGAAAAGCTCCGCTTCCAGATCAGGTAATTTTCGCCAAGGTATTTTAATTTTTATAAAAAAAAAAATATTCAAAAGTACAAATATTTTGTACTGTACGTAATTTATTAAATTTTGAAATTTTTTATAATTTAAAATAAAATACCTTTAATAGAACTGGATGTCGGCCCAAAAATGGTCTATAAGTTAAAAAAAAATTTTGACCACCATCGTTTTCAAGATGACGGTAATTTCACAACCCCCGGCGTCCTGAAAACCAAGTTTTAAACTCCCTGCGACCGAATTTTCATATTCACGTTCTATTTTGTAATTTTTTTAATTTGTATTAAAACCTGTTGTTTTGCCAAAAATCAATTTACTAGCGATAAAAATCGTTGGATAAATAAACAAGTTTTGAATGGGTAAATGAAAATGTAAAATAATGTTTGTATGGAATAGGGCGAGGAAATAATGTTATTCATACGCCACATCGTACATGGCCTTAATTGTACATACTGGGACATGGCGTATGAGTAACATTTTCCATGTAAAAGTTTTAATTTTTTTTCATTCGCAATGCAAACTTAAAATGAAAATATTTTGGGAAAATGACTTAATCTAGAAAAACTGTATACATATCCGTAATCTACGACCCAAAATTAAGTTTGCGTCCCTACAGTACCTTTAGGAGCATTAATCATGTAATAATTTTTCAGCCTTTTTAAATCAGTGGCATACATTTGCAATAATGGTAATCTTCTTAGCATTATTATTATGACACAAAAATATTTAGTTACATCAGTGTTATATTTAATTTAAACATCGTTTTAATCATTTACTGAGCTTTCGTATAAATAAAATACAAATAAACGAGTATATAATTTAAAAACTTTAACAAATTCATAGAATATAAACATTCATACATATACGATATGTAAACCCTTATGGCAGTGAGTGTTACGCGATAGGTATATTTGTACATTTAAGACTGACCGATTCTCAATACAGTCAAGTAAAAACCAATACACATAAAAAAACGCTGTAAGAATTTGCCTACAATTTTAAGGCAGTAAAACAGAGACCATAAGTTAACATCAATCAAGGCCATATGATGGAAAGGGATGCAAAATCACATGTACGCAAAAGAACTGGTCAGATTTTTCAGAAATCCATTCAATTCTCACATATAATATGATGCCAAAAGGCTGCAGATGTGTTGTAGGGTAGACGCTCTTGATACTTGTAATCAATGACTATCAGTGTTGCCAGCTTAAAGATTTGGTCGTCATTTCGAAGATTTTTGACTGCCATGACGACCTTTGGGACCCAATGACGGTTTTACTTTATGTGCAATTTTGGCTAGTTCTCAACTTTGAATACGTTTAGTTACACAGACAACTAAAAATTGCCGTTTAAATTGCATTGTTTTACTAATACATAACAAGGCCAATGAAAATGGAAAAAAAATCTGGTGCGGAAATTGTTAAAGCTGTTTTGGTTAGAGTTTTTTGTGCTCCATATTTTCTATTTGTTCTTTGTGCTGTACATGGAGAACTTTGGCTGTCTTTCCTATTTTCATTGGCGGACAGTGGTTTTCTGCCATATGGTATGCGAAGTTCGATTCCGGTGTGGTAGATGGTTTTATCATTTTTTTTTGTTCTAGTCTCTGATAAGTTCACGATATCTTGTTTTTATCTTGCGCTCTGTTTGTCCTATGTAATTATGTTCGCAATTCAACTTATATACACCTTCCGTGCCTAGTAGGTCTTCTTCGTTTCTGATATTTCGTAGTATCCTCCCCACGTTGTCCTTCGTTCTAAATGATGTATTGATGTTATACTTTTGGAATACTTTAGCCAATTTATATGTTGTTTTGCCCGTATATTTTTTATTATGTAACATTTATTAACTGGAACAATAGAATCGAGTTCCTTGAAAATTGCTACTTTTCTGTACTTTGCACTAAAAAAGCTAAAACAAACAAAGAAAAATTAAAAGATCGGGCTCACCTTCTCTTCTTCCCCTCTATTCTTTATTGGCACTGTCCAAGACAGGACGCCCGTCATTTCTCTTCTTTGCCAACTGACGCAACTGGAAATACCAAGTGAAGCCAAATCCTTCTCTACCAGGTTTTTTCAACGCAGAGTAGGCCTTCCTCTTCCACTGTTACCAGCACCGCGACCCGCGCTGAATACTTTCAGAGCGGGAGCGTGTCTGTCTTTACGAACGACATGACCTAACTAGCGGAGCCGCTGACCCGGTATCTTGCTAATTTTATTAGCTTTCAAGTAAAAAAAAGCTTAATCAAATTGAGTGAAAAATGAAGGCTCCAGTGTATGTATGTATATGTATATGGCTTTAGGCGCGTATTTTTCGGCTACCGGAACCACTGAACACAAATAGACGATTGCTGTGGGATTAAAAAGTAACGCACAATCACACGTACATACATATATATGTATGTGTGTGTAGTTATCATGAACCAACCACTACAGATCACCTGATCAGCCTTCGTTGTATTTGTAATCGTCGATTACAAAGAAAAAAAGTTTTCGTAGCGTTTTTGATATTTTTCGGGTTTTAATTATAAATTTTGATTTAAATATTACATATTTAAGATATAAAACGAAGTGATGTGTGATTGGACCAAGTTTGTTTTGCTAAGAGGCTAACTTTGCGTAAAAAGTGGGTTCACGTTTGTGGTCAGAACGCTGACATTGAAAAATCGAGCTGTGCTGATGCTATGCGGTTGTAAAACACTTTCTATCACGGAAACTATATTTTATGGACACCTTTTGCTCATTTTTATTCGGTTTCACTTATTGTATTTTATAATAAGTGCCAATATAATCGCACTCAACCACCGCGCCTTTTTCGTTTTCTTGGTTTATTTTCATTTTTAGGCAGATGTCAAAAACGCTCAGAAATATACGTTTTATTTACTTGCTTCTTGGATTCTTGGTGATCTTGTCTTTTGGCTTCATGTGTAGTTATGTATGAATGTATTCCCACACACGCGTAACTGAATATTAATTATTTCACTAGTGCCGCACCGATTCCATAGCCAGAATTCGTACACTGGAGCAAACCGCACAGCAAAACAGATTTGTTTGCTCTCCTAAACTTTTCTGCACATACACATGAAGATACGAGTAAATACATAAGGGGTATTCACGATCCGGTTTTTTCATGTGATCAAACAACAACAAAATTAGCCAATCGTGCTATTTATGTACCATGCATAGGCATTATGCACCGGATCGTGAAGACCCCTATACCTACTTACTTGCATACAACTGTACTTTTATATAAAAACTTGTACATACTTAGATACAGATTCTTGATTTTGTCTGATCTTGGCATAAGCAGGTGCTTCCAGCTGATTGTGAATTCTATCTCTCAAGTTTGCTCTTCTAAGCCGGCTTCAATACGGCACTCTATTTTGTGGTATTTCGGATATAAAGTGAATGCAGGCTCCACAAACGCTTTAGTTAACCGTACCGATAAACGCTTTTCAATGCTAGCATGTGGCTATTCGTTTAATGCCTGCGGCTTTTTTCTTACTTTCGATTTTAACGAGAATTTTCGTGCTGTCTTTTGTGAAAACCAAGTTTTAGTGAGAAAGTAAATTATTAAAAAGTTTTTTTTTTTAACTGCGTTTTGAAATGGTCGTTAAAAGGCCATTGTTCCTATTGCTACATTTGTCGGCTGGTAATAATTTGTTTGAACTCTTACATACCTAAGAATGCATAAATAAAAGCAGTGAAAGGAATATTTTAAGTGTTGAAAAATAAGTGAAAATTTATTTTTATTAACTGAAAAAATTTAATAAAACTTAAAGTGAACCTAATACAAATAGTGAATACAAAATAAAAAAATTTAAAACTTTACGTGAACTTAATATAAAAAATAAATGCAAAAACCATTTGCCATAATAGCAGATTTGACCTATTAAATAACACTGTGCAAAAAATTTCAAAATGTTGGAGGTGATAGGAATCGGATTATTTGATGAATTTGTAATAAGATCCCAATGAGAACGTATAATTTAAAAACACATTTTTCAAAGTTAACGGAGCGGGAAACTCCAACTCCAAAACTCAAAAATATCAAAAATAAAGCGTATTTTTTTTATTTTCAAATCGGTTAATATTTACCCCGCCATGGCTTTGGGGTTTCCCAAGTATTTTACATGGGGAAAATACATGTTTTCGCAAAATTGCTATAAAATCGTTCGAATTCGCATTTTTTTCATCGAATACGACTATTTCCTTTCAGAAGTCTTAAAAAAATAACACCATGATGCATATTTAACTTAAAAAACTTACTAAGTGTATTTTAATAACCGATATGCCTATCCGTTATATACAAAAATTTGTTATTTTATGTTTTCGTAACCACATCTCACGCAAGAACAGCTCAAGGGATGTGCTTAATTCTTATTTGCATTCTACTCGATGTTTTCCGTAGGTTTGTGGTAAAAACTTTTGAAAAGTAGGGTTGCCACATATTTCAAAATTTAAAGATCAATAAGATATTAAGTTTATTATTTATTCCTCAAAACAATAAAGCGTTTGAAGATATGTAAAAATGTTTTTTAATGGGGCTGCCACCTTTCTTAAAAGAAATATAACAATGATTATTATAAATGTATTTAATACCATAATATGGGTGCGACACGAAAGGTTTATGCATAAGCTTTGGACTGACATGTTTTTAATTACGGTTCTAACTAAGATGAGGTAATTATGTAAGTTAAGTGAAATGACGAAATATGCATTTTTGCACATTCGATAGTTTGACATGGTAGCGACGATATATCGCACTCATTTTAATTTTTTAGATAGGTGCCAACCCTATCCGGAAATATGTAGGGGTAAAAGCTTTATTTTAACAACTTTTGTATTATTTTACTTAACAGCATGTAATATGATGATGAAAAAAATTTATATTATAGTTAAATGGCAGCGCTATCCATATATATGAATTAAAGTGGTGATATTAAATAAGCTTAAATTTTGAATAATCTTTGTTCTATTTTTTTAGAAAAAGTGGCTTCGTTCAAAAATATTTTTAAATATCTTCAAACGCTTTTAGTTTTGATGAAAAAACTTAAATATTTTATTGACCTTTAAAAAATTCTCAGTTTTCATATATCTGGCAACCCTATTTTAAAAAATTTTTGCCACAAACCTACAGAATACATTGAGTGGAATGTAAAAAAGAATTAAGCACATCCATTGATCTGTTCGTGAGTGATGTTATTATGAAAACATTAAATAACTAATTTTTGTATATAACTCGATAGCATTATCGTTTATAAAACACACTTAATAAAACTTTTAAGTTAAATAAACATCATAGTGTTATTTTTCGAACACTTTCGAAGAGAAATAGTATTATTCAATTAATTAATATTAATTTTTAACGAATTTATAGTAATTTTACAAAAAAATGTATTTTCCCCATGTAAAATACATGGGAAACTTCAAAGCCCCGGCGGCAAGGGTAAATATTAATCGATTTCAAAATCAAACGTTACATGTCTCTTTATTTTTGATATTCTTCATATCTGGGGGGTGGCTGGAGGAAAAAAATTTGGTCCACCCTAATGTATATATCTATATACATTCGACGGTCACAAGAATATATGTAATTTTTTTTTGCAAATTTTGATATGCATACGCTTTATAATTGTGTTTTTAGCCTAAATAACATACATATATATAAAGTTTTATGACCGTATGATAACAATAACCCGTGCCGACTTTTGGTTGAAATTTTAGTTAACTTGAATTAAGCCTACCAAATTCTCCATGAAAACTTTGGAAATGCGAAAAATTTCATATGTTTCCCATATATAAACGCATTTCTAGTAAACCTGCATATTTAGATTTTTAATATGACGGCAGGATTTCTCGCAAGGACATCGAAAAAATTAATTTATGGCAAAAGCGCAGTGACTTTGTAAAGGTGTATTACAAGGCTACAAAACGATATGTTTTCTTGTCGAATAATTTGTGTATTTCCTGAAAATTGACAATTGTAGAATTAATTAATTAGTCTGACAAGGCTTATGATGAACATAATTATTTTTATATAATTATAATTTAATAAATTTAACTTCTTATTAATTAATAAATTTAACTTCTATGACAAATTCTTTTCCTCCATAAAAAAAAAAAAACCTTTCATAATAGTATTAAATAAACAAAATAAAGTGTTTTAGTGTTTGACACGTCCTCTCGGCTTGATTAAGGAACAAATGTGGTAGTATTATTTAAAAAATTTTAAAAATACCGTCAGAAAAAAATTATCGAAAATCAGTGCGATTTTTCAGCAACTTCAAACTGTCACTATATTACACTAGATAAGCTATAAAGCTGTATACCAAAAATAAATTTAGAAATTAAAATACTTGGAATTGGGATGAAAAGTTTGTGTAATTTTCCAAATTTTTGTACAAAGTTTGAAGTTTGGACTTAATGGTTTTTGGTGCACTGTTCTTTGAAAAAAAAATTCTAAAAATCGGTTACTGTGATCCAAAGTTATGCGGTAACATACATAAATAAAATAAAAATATTCCGGCGGGTTGAATTCGGTTAAAAATTCAAAAACGATAGAAAAACGGCGTTGAAGCTTTTAGCCAGGTTTTGGTCGTTGAACGAAGATAAATAAACAACTAAAAAGATATTTCGATTGAATCAACAGGACAACGTTGTCAACAAACCTTTATTCTGCTCATTACTTTAGTCAAAGATTGTTTTCTAGTTAGAAGAAAGGCAAAAAATACAAATCCTGATTTATTTACACAACATAAGCGTAGAGTTAGCAGCCATTTCTGCATAAGTACAAAGTTGTTTTTGTTTTTTTTTGTTTAAGGCCGTCTTCCAGCAAGCGTGGGATATGTAAATATTTGCAAGCAATGGAAACAAATTCGCTACACTTTCCATTTTAACCATCATCTCAGTGACCTAATACATGTATGTATGCATATATATATATATGTACAAGTATATCATTGGTAATGCATACGCGAATTTATGTTAAACTCTGGTACACACACTCCACTAGTGAATATAATAAATCTAAATGCTTAACTACATATATGATCTGTTTATGTCACGCTTTTTTATTTCTATCTTTTTTTATTGCAAACGTAAAATTTTTTGCACAACTATCAAACTACTTTTGTTTTATTTTAATCATTTCTTTTGTTTTTTTTTGCTTGGACTAACTCATTTAAAACGGTTTATTGATTTTTATTTTCATTTGCTAGTACTAGCACGTCAAATTACGAATCAACCTTTTCCAACTGAATGGGATCACCGCAATGCAAGTAGATGGATTTCAGATTTTCCACAATGTGGAGGAACACGACAGTCACCGATAAATTTGGATAATCGTGATGTAAGTAATGGTGTATATACAACATTTTTTTGCAAAATTTTTCCAACGGTTTGACTAAAAGTTGAATAAAGTTTGAATTCAAATTGATATCAAAGCTTTTCTCAAGTGGAGAACTGAGATTATTTTGCATACGAAAAATGTGTAAGTTTCTTAGAGAATGGTTGAGGTACACTTGAAAATTGGATCTCTACTTGGTCTCCAACCCAAATGTTTATTGGGTATTAGCTATACTAGAACTCGGCAAGTTTTCAACTTTTTTAAACTTTTTTCATAACCGAAACTATCAATTTACTATGTCATGCTCAGTTTATGATTCCATTTTTTTTTTGGTTTGACCATCAAACTTTAATGCGAATTATCTAAAGATTAGATTAAGATATTAACTATTTTAAGAGGAAAATAAATTAGTAAGTACGTACAGAATTTTGAGCTACCGATATACATACATGTGTACATACATACATATAGTGGTTTGGTAGAGTGTGTTCGTGAACTTTATGTCTAACCTTCCAAATACTTTAGCTAAGTATAAAACGTTACTCAGAAGCTAGGCAATTTTATTAACGTCTTTTTTATAAGTTTACCTCATTTTCTCCCTATTTTCAGACTATTGGCTCAAATATTCCCCCATTGCAATTCAAAAACTACGCAAAGCCTTTTTTTCGTAGACTTATGCTGGTAAATAACGGGCATACAGGTAATCAATGCCACTATAACTAATGCAGATCGGACACTTAACCATATACTTTCCCTTTCCCCTTATCAATAGCGAATATTGCAATACCCGAAACTGTTCGTGGTACACGACCAATCATTAGCGGTGGTCTGCTGAATGGTGTCTACGAAGCGCAATCGGTGCATTTCCATTGGGGCTCGCCAGGTGCTAAGGGTTCTGAACATACTATAAACGGTTACCGTTATGATGCCGGAATTCATATTGTGCATAAAAATATGAAGTACGGCAACAAAGAAGAGGCTAGCCGATTTCCAGATGGTCTGGCTGTGCTGAGCATTATAATTAGCATTGTGGATGTAAGTTGACGGACATTTATAAAAAAAATCTCTACCTTCCTCATATCACAGAACCCCGACAGGTCTTATCCGGGACTGAATAAGGTTTTCAATAAATTACCAAGAATTGCAGTGGCTGGAACTAATGCAACTCTAGATCACGAATTAACACTTAACAACTTCCTAGGGGATGTGGATACGACAAATTTTTTCGCCTACAGAGGTGTGCAGCAACAGAAGACGTTTTTTATTCAAGCTTATTATAAATGTATCGTATTTTCCAGGCTCACTTACCACACCAACCTGCGCGGAGGCCGTTACCTGGCATGTCTTTGCGAAACCACTTTTAATAGCACGCGAAATGGTAAAAAATTATTAAGCCCAAACTTTTTTTAAGCCCAAATAAATTTTATATTTACTTTAAAATTTTTTTCGAATACTTATGCACATAGGTTCAAAAGTTATTCCACCTAAAACAGAAAAGTGGCGCACCGCTATTAAATAACTTCCGGCCTCTGCAAGCGTTGAACGGACGTGCAGTATATAGACGCAAAGGATAGCAAATAATTACAGATATAACTTATACAAATACCAACCACAATGGTGTTCTTACGACAGTTGGGTGTATTTTGCCGGGCGGTGCTGACATACAATCCAGGTGTAACATAACAATAGCAACAATGGCATCCATTGAACAAAATTTCCACCGGCTATATTTTAATTTACTTATTAGCGTAATTTATTTAATGTTAAAAATATATTTTTATGTTCATTAAATACATACATACATCCACATTTTTTTTGTAAACCGGAGACCTTTGGCTTTTGTAGGATTTTCTCCAATTCATGATGGATCTCTTAGGATATATATCTGTGTTCGTATGGAAAAGTAGCTTATGTCGAAAGGCCGGCTTTAGTATAATGCGGCATTCCCTTTATTTTTTAAACGACAAGGAATTTTTTGATGAGACTTAAAAAGAATATTGACTTGCTGGTATCGGAACTATTTCTTGCACGTTTATTTGCTACAAGTTGTTTAACGGCTTAGCGCCCGTAAGTCATTCGCAATTGTATGCTGCGAATGCCGATTTATACTAAAGCCAGCCTTTCGACATAAGCTACTTTTCCATACGAACACAGATATATTTGTACTAGGACAATGCACAGTGAATGAGTTTAGCAGATATGATAGATTTATTCGCATCCATATATGTAATACTTCTATATTGCTAGTACAGCATGATAGCACTGTGTTTTCAATTCGAAATTAAAGAAAGTACTACATAGAAGGTTAGTTCGTCGAAAATCTACCAAGAATTGTCCAACACTCAATATATCAGAGAGTAAGGAAAAATTCCCTGAAATTCTCTCTCATGTTGAGAAACTTGCAAATTTCTGCACGAACGCAAATTTGCAGGAATTTGCAAGCTTCCCTGCCAGCTGGTGTCAACGGTTGCATTTCAAACATAAATAATTTTCATAGAATTTTTAAAATTCTTTCAGATAGGCAAAACCAGGATTTCTTATCGTACTAGATAATGTAGAAATCCCAACATATTCCAGGTCCTTCTCTAACTGGTCTTTTTATCCTCTGCTACCACCAGCGGGTGCAGCGTTTCTCGTAGATTTATAAAAATTGTATTTTTGGTTAATTTTTCATGTGAATTTTTTTTTCAATAAGATTTTCTTTTTTTAATTTTTTTCCGTAGCTTTGACGTTATTAACGCCAAATGCCCAGACTCTGTACTTTGATACTGATTTGAGCCTTTATTACACCCTTGATTATAGTTCTCGTCATGATTTTAATCGCAACATTCCTCCCAATTGAAGAGTCTATTTTGAAACTTATGATCAAACTAAATAATGATAAAATAAACTCAGAATATTCAGCTAATATCGCCCGGTTGTCGAAAGTCGAAAGTCGATATCTTATTTTCATACATTTTTTAATTTTGCTTCCCAGCAATATTGACCAGTTGATGGAGTGTTCTGCAGAAAGTTTATACAGGAGTTTAAAGGGCATTTTTGGGTCGGCAATGGATGTATGAAAAACAGCTTCTCATAAAAATACAATCTCCGTTCGGAGTCGGCGTAAAACTGTTGGTCCCATCCCCCTTTGTGTGACAACATCAAAGCGCACGCCACAAATCGGAGGAGAAACTCGGCCAAAACACCAACAAATGTGTAAGCGCCAATATATTATTATAATGGATGTATGTATTAGATTTACATATTCACCTAGAATGCTGTATAAATGCAAAATTGTTTCAAACAAAATGTATTTTGTTAGGGTATTCACAAAATCTAAGCAAATTACCTGTAAAATGAGGTAAACAGGGTTGATTTTAACTGGCCTCTGGTTGACCAAACTTGATGCAAAAATTTGCAAAAATATATAAAATATTTCTAATGCAAACAATTACAGTCATTTTACAACGCTTTTTTTTTGAACTTGTTCCCATAATTTATACGAATTTTGTGAGTAAACTTTTATGTTTAGTGATTTATTTAACGACTTAAATTGAAGCTTGATTGATCTAAATGTGTTATTTCGCAACAAAAAGATATTTAATTAAGCAATTGTTTTGCTGAAAATTTAGGAACCAATACAAAAAAATTAAAAAAAAATTCATTTAAGTAAATTATAAATAAAAGAAAAACATCGGGATCAATAACCAGTATGGACGTAAGGGGTAAATAAAATATGCTAATGGTTTTATTTTTGAAGATTTATTACCAAACACTTTGCCGCTAATGACTCAAGATGCTGATTTATTAGTATCTATCGGTTGATCCATTGAGAAAGCCTTAAAACGTTGTCACGTCAACAGACTTGTCCCAACTAAAATAGCTGATAATTCCATAAGTTTCAAGGCCATTCATTAATATGCATGTATTTATGTACTCAAAAACACACTACTTGGACATTTAAATGCACACTAGGGTGGTCTAAAAAGAGTAAAATCGGAATTTTAATAGGGGGTGACCCTACGATTGTTCTACGTCGAAAATATATCCAAATTTTTTATTTTAAAATCAAAAAATATTTAGAGGTCGCTCAAAGCACTCAAAGTTTTCTATGTATTTTATATGGGAAGAAACCACTTTTCGTAAAAATGGTATGGAATTCTTCAAAATCAATATTTTTCGATCGAAAAATTCTGGTTCTCTTCAGGAGACTTCCACTAATAATACCCGATTATTTATTTAACCATTTTTTCATAGTAACTACAATTTATACGTCCACCCAAAATCCCCAAAACCACAAAAAATGCAATGGGGACACCAATAAAAAATCGTTAATATAAACGATAACGATAACTTCATTTTTGCTCATGCATTTTTGGACCACCCTACTGCACACACACACACACATTCATGAGGATAATGAATAGAGGGGCTCTTCTATGCAAATGGCTAGATATAAGTAATAAAAATCTAGAATAGGTAACTTGAAATTAGAAAACAAAACTTGTGCAAGACTTCTTAAATTGTAGCGTTCTTCGGTTCTGTCGAAAACAATAAGTAGCACAGTAGTGTCAAGTAAGCTTGTGTGTCGCTATGTCAACCACACAGTTTTATGCGGCCGATAATTTCTTCTTGGCATAAATTAGCACATGGTATGTTTGTACTCGTATGAATGTATGTATGTATATGTACATATGTCTAAACCTGGAGGGCTGAGTAACAGAGTAGAAATTAAAAAAAAATGTATATATTAAATGCATAGTAATCAGACATGAATATACTAGGGAAGTTAATTTTTCAGCCTTTTCCGATCCCGGAAATTTCGGGTTGTCGTTATCACAATCCTGGGATCCCGGGATTTAGATATTCATTACTTTTCAATAACCTAAATCGAAAAAATTGCTCCTATATTATTTGAGAAGCTCTCCTACCATAAAAGAGATAATCTCTTTTTTATTTAAGGTGCCTTTTTAAGCTGATAATGATAGAAGGACGAAATTCGAGGATGTTATCGAGTTTATAAGAGTCCTTGCCACATATTTTTTCAAAAATAATATTGCGATATGTCAAGGATAAAATTTTAAAAGGAAATTTTCAATTTTTCCAGTCCTTCTGCACCAAAAACTTGAATATGTTTAAATTCTGCAGGGGTTCCTCTTTAATTTGATACCCATACTTCTTCCCTAAGCACACGTTTCTCACTTTTCTGAATATTTTTAAACCATTTTTGAAGCGACGATAACATTTTTGTTCTTGTTTTCTAATTTGCAGCTGAGTCCAGCGTTGCCGCTTCGCTTAGATTCAAGAAAAATTTATAACGTTTTTCTTGACTGTTTATATATTACATTTTCCTTCGTTTTGCATAATTTTTTCTACAATTCCTGTCAGACGAAAGCAAAAACAAAAAATGAAGTTTCATGAACTATTTGGTAGTTGAAATCTACACTGCAGTATCTTATGATCTCGTGAACTAAAGGAACATAAAGAACTTTTCTTTCTGACTGCTGGACACCTGGAACATAGCGAAATTTGATTTCCCCTTTTTAATCAAGAATGATAGAATACAAGCACTTTTTAATGTGCCTTATTTGAGCGCTGCCACCATGCGCATTCACTATGCGCATTTTTTGTTGGCAAACACATGCTCACTTACGATTGTCATTGTGTCCATTTTTGTAAAGTTGCTAAAATATTTACGATTGCTATTAATTTAGTCTTCAAACTAAAAAAAATATCAACCAAGCACCAAACTCAAAAATGGCCCATGGTTTCGCGAATATATTGATATTTGTGTTTAAAATTTACATACTAAAAAAATATTAATTATTAAATAAAAAAAGAAATATAGCCAATACTGGTCAAAAAAAGGTGTTCATATTATTGCCATCAGTGCAAATTACAAATCCCGAAAATCCCGGAATTATTTGCCAAGAATCCNTGGGACCTTAAAACGGCCGGGATCCCGGATCCCGGGATTAACATTCCTAACATATACATACATACGTACTAGACGTTTACGCCGATAGATTTTGCGGGCCGGCGTCGTCAATCTTAGAATAACCGGCGACGCCGGCGTCTCAAATAGCGCCAGCGCATCTGGCCATTAGCCACATACCAAAGAACGTAGGAACCCAATTTATGTTAAATTGTAACGCAACTTTACGAAAAATATTATTAAAAAGACGCCTAATAGGTATTTGGAATCGGTGCATATGCTTGTTTATTGAAGTACTTTAATATAAAAAATAGTCGATTAACCAATCAGCTAATAAGACATTAAATCGAATAACCCCACGGCCATAATTGTGTTTTAAAATAGTCACTACGA